GCATAATTTTCAGCTGTATATCCAGTGAATCATATTAAAGAGTAGAGAGATGTTGGTTTCTCCTGATAAAACATACATAAAGCTTCAGCTGAGAGATAGCTACAGTGCCATGCATATGAGTATGAAAAGACAGATATCACACAAGAGGAATATGATTACAGCTAGATGAAAAAAATTGAGGGTTAATATACCCAATTTTGGTTGACTTCAACGTATTAATAAATTTGGGATGCATTGACCTAAATGAACAGCTGAGATGGAGGTGCACTTCCACCTCGTCCCCCCTTTTATTTAGTAAACGAGTGGTTAAGACGCTCTCTAGGAATACAGACAATGCAACTTCAGGTCCCTTCTCTTTCTAACAGGATCTGATCTGATCTGCCTTAGAAAAGAGATTCTAGAGAGAGGAGCTCTCAGTTCTTTCCTTTGGACCACAATCTCCATCACACAAAGATCAGGAATATTATTGAGAGTGATCTGGCACCCAGATAAGTCACTTAATTCCCACATTACTGATTATTTTTTTCATTCACATTCATGTTCACAAACTACTGTGACACCCAAGGTAACGGGGAATGCAACGAATAAGTACAGACAGCACCTGTAACTGTCCCTACCTGATTTATGGGAAAGGTGCTCTGTTTTCTCCAGCTATTTTTCAGATGAACTTTAAAAAGTAATCTTTTCTGTTGGGAGAAAACTAAAACATATCTATTAATAACTAATTTTTATTAAGTTTTCAGGAAAATCAAATCTATTCCCACTCTGTCAATCAGTAAAATAAATAAAGAAAAAAAGTCTATTGTAGTAAAACATATAGATACTCTGAGTATTCCTTCTAAATATAGCCTACATTCATAAAACATAGAATTTTATCCAAACATACTTTTTGAAGACCTCCTTTCTCTGGCTTCTAACTGGAAGGACATGTATCAGCCCTGACTAGATTTCACAAGATGTCCACCTTTTCTAGCATATAAATAACTTTAAAACTGGCCCCAAGGAAAAAACCCAAACCGCAAACCAAGACTAAAATACTTCAAAAGTGTGTCCCTCAAAATATTTCAAAATATGCTTGTAAAGACTGCATTGAGCATTTAAACTATGCAAACCCATAGTATTGCAATTTATAGAGTGATAATGGATTAAAAGGGAATAAGGTATTTAACAGCAGCAAAAATAACTGATCTTCTCATTTCCGGGAACTCAAGATTTTCTGCTTATGCAAGCACACTTCCTATTGAAATAATTCTGCTAAGTTCAGAAAATATATGTAAATTACCTCACTTTGAAAAAATAATAAATGAGACACAAAACCAAGAGCACTCTCAACTTCAATAACAGCACCCCTCTAAAAACTCTCCACTAGAAAAAAGTAGAATGGAACAAATGTAAGCTTCAGAATGCAGTAGAATCTAGGTAGAATCACAAAAAACCTCACAAACACTAATGGTCTAGGCTGTGTCTAGTAGGACAAATGCAAATTGACAAAAAACCAGAAACAAGAGAACCCCAAAACCTAGTAAGGGGGACTGATTTTTGTCAGACAAAAGATGAGAAAGCAAAAAGGAACTATTGGTGAGTTATGCTCCATTAGTTGCAAATATAGGTGAAATAACCCTTTGTGTTTGCGTCTAAAAATGTCATCCTGGATGGTATTTTCAAGGAATTCTGTCTGACGTTAAAAGATATGTCATAACTTTGAGCATCCAGGCTCCAGTGTCCCCGAAATCTGTTTATATAGCTCATAATGTAATTAGAGCTACCTTAAGACAGATGAGGCAGAAGGCAGCGATATATTGAAAACTAATTGAAAAATGCAGTTGTCCAGAAGCACTTGTGGGGAAGAGGTCTCTGAAAAGCTGCTCAAAGCTTCAGAGTTTGAAGTGAAATTTTTGATGTTGTCACTCTCAATCTATTGAAGAGCTGACAGACAATCAAACCCGTCTGGCTGGCTGGCAGCTCATTTTGCTGGCAGGTGGCAAACAATTAGACACACCAATTTGTGCCTCCTGATGACATTAAAGCATGAAACTAAGTTGTATGCAGGGCCTAGTGATTTGTGTGAAAGCATTTCAAAAATAATACTCTTTGCCGTGGCAACTCATTTCAGACTGCCACCTCCCATTACGGCTTTGAGCGGTGAAGACGACAGACTTGAGTTACGTGCGGTGCGAGGCCGCTTCTGTTCAATCCGTCATCAGTGCCCCCCGAGACCTCAATCCCCTCCTTTCATCAATATCACCTCATCATTTACATTCGATAGTGCCTGAACTGCTGCATACATTAACTACACACAAGTCCTGTTTGATAAAACATGTTGGACACATTTTCTGCTTTTAGATTTCATTTATAACTGCACAAATTCTGTGGAAGAATACAGCGTAGCCTATTACACAATGACTCTTATGAACATATTAGCAACGTATAATTAAAAGAACATGCGGAGCAAAACACATCATATTAAATGATAAAACAGTTAAAATAAATAAATAGATAAAATAACTTCAGTTCTATTTACAGATGTTTGCTTTATATGGCATTTACCTGCATGTAAGATCAGTGATTACAGTTAAAGAGATACCTTTAAAACAACAAAGATACTGTTATTTTTCTACTAATTACTTATTGCCTCAACTCTTCTTTTACAAGGCACTCAACCATCCAAATACAAAAATACAAAAAAAAAGTCTATCCTCACAAGGACTAAGAATATTTTTTTATTAAAGTGAAAAATACATTTCTCTAACCTCGATTCGCTTATAAATATGGGATCACTGTGTGTATTTTATAAGAACTGAAACAAATAAAACCTGGCAAAACAATACACTCCATTGTCCATGGCTCTCCCTAGAGAAAATAAACATGACCAATAGCTACATTGCTCAGTGACGTACCAAAAGCTGCATAAACTCTAGCAATCTACAGAAATACGGTCCAAAGGCATAGTGTTAGCTTTTAAAAAATATGCAAAGTGTATTAATTGATTATTAGTTTCCATCAGTAAACACACTTATGTTTAGATAAGCAAGCGTGGAAAAATGATCACACTGTTATTTTTTTAATGATAATTAGGATACTATAGGCAACAGAAAATATTTATAAACCATCAAAAGCTAAAATCCATGTTGCTTTCTCAATTAATATTTTTATTAATTCTAGTATTATTTCAATATAGTATTCAAGGCTTTTCTCCCCGCCCCCCTCAGCCTTTGTTGCAGCTCCCATGAAAAGTTATACGTTCAGGATCTCAAACTGCTCCTCCTTTGTAATTTTAAAACAGAAAAGCAAGATGACCACTCATCTTTTGCCTCCAAAGATTGCCGTAGCGGTCAACTAAGTACTTTGAAAACGTGAGAAAAGTGCACAGAGAAGTGTTTGCCTGAACAGTGGTCATCACTCAAGTAACGCAGCCGTGAGGTGCAACCAGCCAATTGAGTTCCTGTGGGCTAAGAATATTAGTATTTTTAGTGAGATACCCACAGTTCAATAACACTCGTTTAGTTGTAGGTAAGAATCTGATGTTTCCTCATCTGCTGGGAGTTCCCTGAACCTGCTAGTTTTGGTTTTACTAAAAAGCATGACCTACCTCACTCACCAAAATCAGATAACAGGATGATCTATTGGGATATTTTGTTCACTTCAACAAAATTGATACAAATGGGTCTTTGTTTGCCTAAACGTGAACCATTACCACCTTTTTTTGCAGAAGAAGTAAACAATGGCTAGTATTGACATAGTACTACATGTGCTACCAAGCTACAAACTTGTACAGTGTACTAGCTGTACACTTTGTACAGTAAATCATGGAATCACAACTTGGTCAACAGGGCTTTACTATGGAATTCGTAATTCATAATTTCACATAATGAAATAGTGCTTCTTCACTTTTATTCTAAAATTCTTGTACTTTACTGTTTACATTATGCTGAAAACACTGATTGCATATTGTTTTTCTTAAGACTTTAATGAAGACATTTCTGATATTTGTACAGGTTTTCTGTTTGGTTTTTTTTTTTCATAAATCCCAACATAGTCATTTTCTTGTTTTATTTTTGATTTCTTCCAGAAAAGATGCATGATGAACTAACATATTTCTACAACTTTGCTTAAAGTTTTGAGATGTTACCACATCTTTGAGTTGCCTTGATTCCTCTTTTTTTAAAAAAAACTTTTAATAACATTTTAATGAAGAAACTGCAGGCACCTTGTCATACTGGAAAATGTAGTCACATCAACAGGCATAAGAGTTAGCTCTCTGCACATGTTAAGACTGAGTGCATAGTGGAACAGACTACCCTTCTTCTGGAAGAACGTTGTTGATTGCACATCTTATCACAACTTCTATGTACAGGGTAATTGAGAGGGACTGAATATTTAAAGAAAAGTATATTTATAAGAAGCTGGGAAGCTACAGCCTAAAACGAGAAACAAAGTACTCCTTGTGGAAATGTTCAGCAGTTTATTTTTAAACACTATTTTAAACACTAATTTAACACTTTTGAGTGTATTTTCTTTTTAAAGACCTAAAAGGAAACTGGTTTCCACCATGACCATGCAAACAATTTGCCATGGTCAAAGCATTTCAGTACCAGAAAACAGTGCAATGATGGATCCAATTAAGATTTAAGTCTTTGAAAGAATATTCAACTGAATTTCTGCACAGTCAGTCTGTTCTATATAAGCAGATATTACCCCTCCTCCTCACTAAAATGCTGTTTTAAAGGAAAAAAGATTTTATTACAAAAACATTTCGTTACAACAGGCTTGTTTCCCAAGTACCTCGTGGAGTTTTATTAACTGCTGACAGAGAAAAACAAGATGAATTACTTTTGCCTATACTATACAGTCCTTTTTGGTAACACAGAAAAGGAGAAGTAATGCAGATGTTTTTTAATATAGTCTAATACAAACCAACAGAAGAATAACCATGTTAAAAAAAAAATAATCCTTCAAACTTCTGAATTACATCATATAAAATAATGAATCCAGCCATATACCTGTCAAATGAGTGGAACTGCATGGGAAGAATAGCTTGAGCTTCTCTCTTCAGTGCAGGATCTGGGTAAGGGATTGGATCCGGACCACATTCTGCAATTTCAACAGGGGCTGCCACAAGGCTTTTCAGTATTTCCTTGACATTGATGCCTTTACTTTGGCTGATGCTGGATATTGATGATGCGGGTTTCAAGATTTCACTGGGGCTTTCCGTTAAGCTCTCCTGAGATTTCTTCACTTCTGAAGACAAAGTAGACAACAGCTCGCTCATGGCATCAGGGCCTGTGCTGGTCTCCAAGTCTGTCCCATTCAAAATATTGGGCATCTGTTCGTCTCCAATTCCAGAATCTGTATGAGGAATAGAGCTTTCCAGCTGAATATCTTCAACTGGTGTCGGTGTTTCTTTATCTTTGATATTTTCTGGAAATACAGTTGGTGTCTCTGCAGTGAAATAGAGATAATGAACAATACTTATAGCTTAGTTTAGTTTGATTTTTTTCTCTTAAATATATGATCATGAGGTTTTACAAGACAGAAGTGAAAGTGTTAGAAAGCCCACAAATCTTAGTAGTTTACACCTTAAAAACTCATTCTACATACAAAACGTTTTGATTTCAACAGCTGTTTGGCATATATAAAGGCTTGGAAGAAGGAGCCCAAAGTTGCATTATGCAAGCTCAGTGACATTTAGAAATTACAGCCCACTACTCACACAGTAAACAAATAGCAAAATATTGCCAGCAAAAACAACATTAAAAATTATAACATATCGACTGCATATTGGTATGATCTGTGAGACTACTGGAAGAGAAAAATGCAATCACTCATGCTTTAGGTTTACTGTAAAATTTAGTCTTTTTATCACTGTCAGTAAATATTAAGCTTGCATTCAAAAGAAAATTGCTAGACCTTTTGTTCGCTTTGTCTTTTGTTTAAAATGAGTATTACATTTTTACACAGGCATCATTACAATGAATACAAATTTATTTATACATGACTGAAAAAAAAAAAGCTATTGTTCATTCTTTAGATAACTCCTCCTTCCCCACAAAAGGTGAAATTCTGTAATTCTTTCTGGCAAATGTTAAGAACAAAATAAACACAGCTTTATAGAGATGGGAAAGTGAAATCTGTTGAGTTTGGAACATTTCCAGATTGAAACGGACTCTACAACATCTTGTAACCGAGAAAAGTGTACCTCTATTAATTACTTCAGTGAAACAGACACAACTTCATTAAGTAAGAGTAATTTGCTATGCTTAGTGGAAAGTTAACTAGACTTGTGAATAAATTCCATATTCATCTTTTTGGTTATATGTTTGAAAGCAACAGATTGTGGCTATTTTCAACTACAAAAAGCTTGCACTCAAACTGATTTTTTAATTTATTTTCAAACTACCTTATTTTATTGGATAACCTGTCTTGATTATAAATGTAGCTGTCCTGTGTATGAATTAGGAATACTTTCGGTTGGTTTTTTTTTAAAGGAAAATATTTTACAGCATACTTAGATGAAGCTCTGCCCTTCTGAATATTCCAAATATAAAGTCATTCAGCAATATAACTTTCATAGCAATCACTTATCTTATTACCAATTGTTTGATACAGCAATATCTATGTATTTACCACAGGGGTACAAGTGCATGTGTATGCATGTGCACATAAAAAATTCTACATGAAATTATTTATGTTTGAAATAGTGGTAGGTGTAAAGTTCTTCATATGTACAATATTAACAAACGGATACAGGTAGAACTATACGTAGGCTTTTAAAAATACAAAACAGAATAACCCATTATAAGGAGTATTGTTTTCTTCTTTTAACAGCCGTAAATGCTGAAGCCACTTCCTTCTTTCCTTTCCCCTAAGTAAGTGCCTTAAACACATCTTATCAAATAGATATGAGCCGTGCTTTGTGAAGCAGGAAGTAGAAACTGGATTTATGAGCTGCATAAAATGCACTTAGCATCTGCTGGGTCAGGAAGTAAAAAAATCCGTATCTACTTAGTACTGCCTATATTTGGCACAGAAGGACATCTGATCCACAGAATGATCCTAATGAATTTTCTGCTTGTTTGTTTCTTTAAAATTGATCCATACAAAGACAATACTGCTGAACTGAAAGGAAGAGTAGGATGGGACCGACGGTCAAGGAGATTGTTGCCCTTGCAATATATGTTAAGTAAAATAGCATGAGGTTCCATTATTATGTAAATGAAAAGAGGACATTAAAAAAGAAGATGGTCCTCTACACAGTGAAGTTAGAGTACACTTAACCTCAATTTTCATTAAAGCCGACAATGTTGAACATAAAACTACAGGAAACTAATGCAAATGTGGATGTGGAAATTCAAATACCCTAACCAAAGCAGAAGAAAGATTTTAATGTATTAAAATCACAGGAATGAACTGACTCCAAGCCAATTTTGAAGGAAACAGTCTATGAAATTACTAGTCTAGTAGCAAGTACGTTTGCCAAACAGGTAAGTAGAGATTGCAACATATGACTGGAGAATATCACACATGGTTTTTCTTTTGAAGAAAGGGGAGAAAATGATCTGGACAACTATGAGACTTCAACAGTGAGCAAGATTTCAGGATTTATTTTGGAGTAAATAATAGTAATGGAATGGAACAAGACAGATTACAAAATGACTTTGCTAAAAGAGCTTTTAAAATATTTATTGCGCAAAGAAAATAAGGGCTAATGTAGTAAAATTCAGTAAAGCTGGGGTTGTCACAACAGATAGTGCTTTAGTCAAGAGAACCTGGGAATTAATAGAAGGTGGCAAAGGCTAAGAAGGAGACATCAAATAGTTTCAAAAGAAAAAACATCAGACTGAGGAAAACTACCATAGGAATTATCTCATTTAAAATTTAAAAAAGATTTGAGGTGAAAAAATAAAAATATAATGATGAAATTTGCTGATGACAAAATTACAAGGTACAATTGATGCACAGAAGAATGATTATAAGAAGGAATTATGACAGAACTGCAAATTACATTTAATAGTGGAAAGCTATGCATCCAGTGACTAACACAAAGATTCCCATTAAAATCAGAATTCATCAACTGGAAATGTCTGAAGAGAAGAACCTGGATATGTCAAGTCACTGGGTAACTATACAACACTGCCATGGAAAAGGCAAATGTGATTCCAAACTTTTCTGAAGAATTAGCTCCTGCAACACTTAAATATTAACAGCATTAAAGAAGGCTTTGGTGGGGTTCATTATGGAATACTGTGTACGCTGTTATATATTCCCTCACTACAAGAAGGATGCTGAGGTGCTGGAGCGTGTCCAGAGAAGGGCAATGAAGCTGGTGAGGGGTCTGGAGCACAAGTCTTCTGAGGAGCGGCTGAGGGCACTGGGGTTGTTCAGTCTGGAGAAGAGGCGGCTGAGAGGAGACCTTATCGCTCTCTACAACTACCTGAAAGGGGGTTGTGGAGACGAGGGTGTTGGTCTCTTCTCCCAAGTAACCAGCGATAGGACAAGAGGAAATGGCCTCAAGTTGCGCCAGGGGAGGTTTAGATTGGATATTAGGAAAAATTTCTTCACTGAGAGAGTGGTCAGGTATTGGAACAGGCTGCCCAGGGAGGTGGTGGAGTAGCCATCTCTGGAAGTGTTCAAGAAACGTGTGGATGTGGCGCTTCACGACATGGTCTAGGGGACATGGTGGCGCTGGACTAATGGTTGGACTTGATGATCTTGAAGGTCCTTTCCAACCTAGTGTTTCTGTGATTCTGTGATTATGTGATTTGAGAAAGATGGAAGTGCCACTATGGAGATCCACAATGGCTGACTGTTGCAGAAAAAAAGAGTTTGTCTGATATACTCTGGCCAAACTAGTATTGAGAGGGTATACAATAGCTATTATACAAATATTTTCTCAAGAAAAAAGATTTAAGCTAAATGGAAGAGTGCAAACTCACCAGCAATACATTAAGATTGTGAAGTCACAGCCATCACTATGGAATTAAGGTATTGAAATAGCTTCCCAGTTAAGAGTAAGAAGTCCAAAAATCAGAACTAATCTAAAGACTCTATAAATAAGACTCTACTTAATTACTCAGCAGGTGGCTTATAATCATTTGTTCCCAAATGAAAATAAAATGCCTAGAGGATTACACCATTTGAAGTTAAAAATGGAAGGAATATTAAATTTGTGGATATAGAATTTAGATATGACATACTATACAACACATAACACTAATAAAAATTATTTAGGAAAAAAAAATCAAGTTATTCCATATACAGGGAAGTATATGGAGACTTAATATCCACAGAAACCAGGCTTGTATCTTTTCTTACTGTGTCTCTAGTACCTACTATGAATATGCTGCACTAAGTCAATTTAGTTTAGTCTGATTTATCACTATGAACAACAATCTCTAAAAACTACCTAAATCCAGTGCATTAACTCTCATTTTAAAAACATCTAGCAAGCTAAATGAAAAAGATCTTTTTAAATTTAATTTCATTTCATATCATTTCATAGATAAAAAAAGACCTTTTAAGGTCCAATTTACTTTTTGTAAATCAAATGAAAGTAAACTCAGAACAGATAAAACTGCTTAATGACTGCCTCTCAAATAAGAATACTAGCAAATTAGTATTTGTGAAATTCAGATAAATATGTCTGAAAAGATGTATTATAAGACCTTCTGGATCAGCATTATCAGTAGTACTATTTTAGGTAAATTATAAACTCCTGAGCATGGATCACAAAACCCAACCAATTTTAGTTACAACACTGTTTTATTCCATGCTCATTTATACTGTGTCGTATCAATTCTGTTGCCTTCGGAATTCAGGAATAAAGACGACTGCTTTATAACGTTATTTAGAAAACTCTTGAACCGGTAACGTGTACGCTTTTATAAAAATCCTGAATACTCAAAGCAACTTAGCAAAATGATAAACATGACCAGAAGCAAAAATATAACTGATTGCACCTGTCTATGTTATAACACTGTGACAGTAAGCCTGTAAATTTTCAGCAAACCTCATCAGTTTTCTGCAGCACAAGGCCATGTCAGTAGACAAAGCAGAAACATTACTAGATCCAGTGATCTTAACCCTGTCAGAAATAGGCAGTTGGAAGCCAGATGCCTCCTTCTTACTGTTTTTCATTGTAACTAATGAGTTCATCTACTACATTATGGGAAAAATATGGGCTTAAGTTAACTAAATGACATATTGTATATCTGGTGACCTCATCCGTCACGCTCCTTCCCTAAAATATCTTGTTTGCTTGTGATTTATGAAGTGTGTTGTAATTGTTTTAACCTACTGAGTTACCTAAATAGCTCTTCCACTGCTTCCATATGCCTAAAAAATACAACCCCCCATGTTTATTAACTTAATAATGAGACACATTTCTTATCTGCAATAAATATATACAATTTTGCCATTATAAAAAATGACAGCACAAAATA